CTTTAGAACATTCTAGACTTTTCCATGAGCCAAAAACTAAATGGGTACTTTCTTCTTTTTTATTATAAAAAGAGAATAAAAACAGAAAAATTACAAGTGATACAGAAGTTCACTTAATAAAGTAATATCTATTTCACAGTATTTGCTGTAATGTATCATATTGTTTTCCAACCAGTCAATCATATCAGCATATGCATGCATGCAAACATTGGAAGAAGAAATTAAAAGACAAAGAAATATATGAGAAATTAAGAGGAATAAAAGGAGAAACAATTGAAAAAATGTTATAAAACAAATTAGCTATAATCTGCTTCATTCCATAGACCAAAAGAAATCCACAGTACTGTTGTCCTAAGCACCCTGTTTACATACATAGATATATCTCTTTCTCCCACTTCTTCTCCTCAACTCAGTATCTCTTTCCTTCTAAGTAAGTTCATTCTCTTTCCCAGTATCTATTGTACCCTTCAGATTCTATTCTCTCTCTCTCTCTCTCTCTCTCTCTCTCTCTCTCTCTCTCTCTCTCTCTCTCTCACATATATATATATATGAGAGAGAACTTAAGAATGAGAAATAAAAAGTAAAGGTTTATTATTGCATTTCTAAAGAGAAAATTGCTGTTATTATTGATTCACAGTCATATATATTTTCCATGTGTCTTCATATCACCCCTCCTTCCCTGCATGGGGATCTAACTCAGGGTGTCATGTCTGCTAAGCAAGTACTGTACCTCTGAGTGCCACACCCTACCCTTTTTTACAAACTTAAAATTATATGTGGGATATAGGTTTTTTTTCTTTTTTAAAATTATTTTGGTACTAGGAATCAAACTCAGGACCTTGCGCTTGCCAGGCAGGCGTTTATGCTGCTGAGTTATATCCCGGCCCCCATAGTTTTTTAAGATATACAAGTAAGGTCTTAATTATGACTTGCTTTCTCATTCAGCATATTCTAATCCTCTCTGCAAGTCATGTGGCTCATTTGTTATTTTATGTGTTAAATTCATTTCCTTTTTTAAAAAATATTTTAACCATTTACTCATGGTGTATATTTGTATTGCTTCCATCATTAACTTTTTTAGACATTATTTTAGTAAGACAGCTTTCTGTTGTAAATGTATGTTGTGCTCATTTTCCCAAACTCAGGCCAATAATGAATATTTAATAGTTTCTGTTTAGGCAGGTGAAAAATGACCTGAATTTATATTTCCTTAATTATAAATGAAGTGAGTAATTAGTTCACTTTAAAACTTTTCCTGTGGATTGTCACATACATTCTTAGCCTATTTTTCTATTTGTTTTTTTCCTTGCTGAAGTGTAAGACTTTTTTTTTTTTTTTTAGTAGAAAGTTTCTGGCTGGGGTTGTAGCTCAGTAGTGGGGTATTTGCATAGCATGCACAGGGCCTAGTTGTGATTTAGTCAGTGACTTATTTGGATAAATAATTGTGTGTCTTTAAATAACTTTACTTATATCTTGATTATTTAACCTTAACTAAAGATGTTTTTAAACTTGTTTTAAAAATCTGTTTTCCAGGTTACTGTGCATAATGACAGTTATGATACTCTTCATGGTAAGAGTTCCTTTGTTTAATCTGTTCATATGAAATAAATTTATTTTTTTAAATCACATGATTTAATTTTTTTGGTGTTATAGTGATACTTGGAAAGCAGTATGCATCTCTTGTTTAGTTCCATTTAGATTAAATATCACAGATAATCCTTTCACTGGTTATTACTTTAATATTGAATTCAAGGGATGATCTTGTTTTTCTTTGTCCTTTGCATTTAATTTCTCTTTGGTTTTTAACATATTTTCTGAAAGAAAGGAGGGACAAAAAGTCAAAATTTGATTATTCCAAGTATTATTTGCCTCTTACTTTGTTTCAAAAAATGTTTAACATACATCCAAAAGATTAAAGATACTTAGTTTTTCAAGTGCAGGAATCATGATCTGTGATTTTATTGTTAGACAATTGCTTAATGTTGTTCCTGTCCGTTTTTCTTTCTGTTTTCATTTTTTGTAGCAAGTTCAATGAACTCTTTGAATATCCCAGAGTTTGAAGAGTCTGTGAGAGATTGTGAACAAGCTCATTTGAATATGGATAAAAATATAAAATTTTCTATATGGGTATCTTTCTTTGAGATTTATAATGAATGTATTTATGACTTATTTGTCCCTGTATCATCTAAGTTCCAAAAGAGAAAGAACTTGCGCCTTTCCCAAGATGTGAAGGGCTATTCTTTTATAAAAGGTATGCTAATAAATATTTTTATTTTAGCAAAGTTCCCTTTTAGGCTCTGTAGTAGCTATTGGAAAGGAAACAGCAAACTAATATACTTTATATTCATTATAAACATCGAGAAAATAAGAGAAGTTCGTACTTTACAAGTTTTTTTTTTAATATAAAGTCTAGTTTGGTACTGTGTTGAGTATCAATATAATTCATGTTGGTGGGAAAAAATAATTGAAATTTACATTCTGCCACTTTGAGGCAGTCAAAATTTGGAACTATGAAATTTTCTTCCATTGTGATGTTTTTCTAAACATTTGAAACTGTTATTTGTAGGAAATGCGTATTAATATTGCTATGTGCATGTATATATCTTTATATGTGTGTGTAATATTTACAATAAAAATCTCAATTATTGCTCCTTGGTCTTTTGGCTGAGATGAAGTGCAGTATCTGTTTTTGTCAGCTTAATATTTGATATGTTCTATATCTAAGGACAGTATATTAGATGGATTTCTGGAGGTGTGCAGTAGAGTAGGAGCTTGCCCTGTCTCCTCAAAGCATTAAGTGGTTATTGTAGTACTTCCAGGAACGATCCCTCAAAAATTCTTTTTCTTATCTTACTGTAGGTAGTACACTGGTTTTTTTAATATTGTACTTTATTTTTACAAAGTGTTATTAGCAAAATTTTGTGTGAGTCACATACATTCCAGTCTGCATTGTCTCATACATAGTGAGATATTTCTTTAGGTTGAATCTATATTATATTTTGGTTTTCTTTTCCCTGAATGTTTAATTGTAAGGAATGTACCTTTTCATTTTCCCTCTGGCAGTCTATTGAAGAACATTTACTTTATGCATTTGTATAACTTAAGTACTCTAATATAATCTCTTCTGGAATATGAAGTAGCTGAGTTGATTCCAGTTTATGTGTTGTTAAAAGAAAGATGTCATTTTATGTCACTGGGAAAATGTGTTAGATGATGTAGACAAAATCCTTTTTAATATAAATTGATATGTGTTGTTTTATGTTTTAAGATCTACAATGGATTCAAATATCTGATTCTAAAGAAGCATATAGACTTTTAAAATTAGGAATAAAACACCAAAGTGTTGCCTTCACTAAACTCAACAATGCTTCTAGTAGAAGGTAAGAAATAATTCCTTTGAAGTAATCCTGAAACACCCATAGTATTCTGTGCTATGCAGTTCATTTTACAATAAAATTGGTAGTAGGTTCTGTTAAATGACTTTATAGGCATAAAGACCTTTCCTGTAGACTAAAAAGCACTAAATGGAGATGGGGAGATAGCTGAATGGTTTAAGCACCTGCCTGACAAACTCAAGAACCCAGATTTGATCCCCAGTGCCACATGCCGTGCTTTCCCCAGAACCCCAGATGAGACTGACACAAGAGGATCACTACGAGTCCAAGCTGCATAGTGAGACCCTGTACCAAATGAATAAATAAAAGGATTTAAAAATATTTTTTAAAAGTGCTAAATACGGTATTTCTTATCCTGCCAGTATGTTTGCTAATGTTTAGAAAATCTAGGTTTCTTTACTCTTCATGTCAGTATCTAGGTTATTTTTGCAGTTGGCTAGAATGGTGGTCTGTCTTTTCTACTTCATGGATATTCTTTTACTGAAATAGGCCATAATCTCAACAGGTTCAGACAATGCTTTTGATGAATAGAATTGGTTGATGTGAGACAAAGGGAATAAGTTTCAGCAGTGAAATTCTTTAAACAGACTTTCTTATAAGAGGGAGAAGAGTGCTGTCCCCCTATTAATTTGGGCATATATGACTTATGATCCAAATAAGTCTGTATGTGTGTGTGATTTCAAACATATCAAATATATGCTTTGCTTTGAGGATATATTCAAAGAATATTGGCTGTACATAATGTAATTTTTATAAGATGATATTTGCAAGGAAATTGGGAATTATAAATTATTTTATTAATAGATATTAGAATGTCAAAAACAAGTTTTGAGCAATCAGGGCTAAGCAAAGATAGGATTTAGGTAGTCTTGTATTGGCAGTGAAGCAGTGGATTGCCATCTGGTAGGTAGTTGGAAAATTCACTGAAGGACTATAGCTAATACTAGAATAAAATTGAGGTACATTTAGATATTAGGTATCTCCTATTTAAAAATGCAGAAGTTAACAATGAAAAAGTAACTGGATCTTTGTTTCTTTTAGTCACAGCATATTCACTATTAGAATATTACAAATTGAAGATTCTGAAATATCTCGTGTACTTCGAGTCAGTGAGTAAGTTGAATGCTCTTTAAATTGTAACTTTTGAATTGCTTTAAAGAATTTTAAAGTAATTTTTTGTTGTGGTTTGGTTGCTTCAGATTGTCTTTATGTGATCTCGCTGGTTCAGAACGAAGCATTAAGACACAGAATGAAGGTGAACGATTAAGAGAGACTGGGAACATCAATACTTCTTTATTGACTTTGGGAAAGTGTATTAATGTTTTGAAGAATAGTGAAAAGTCAAAGTAAGTGTTATTAGCTATAAGTATTTAAACTTCCAGTTGTGCTGTTTTTTTTTTGGTGGAGCCGGGGATTGAACTCAGGCCCTTGTGCTTGCCAGGGAAGCGCTTATTCTACTGAGCCATCTCCGCGGCCCTAATTGTGCTGTTTTAGTAAATACTTATGCTTTTCTGTAAGGACTGTATAGATTATGATTAAAGTACTTACATCCTGGATTAGAAAAACACAAAAATTTTCGATATCGGGCTGGTGAGATGGCTCAGTGGTCTAAAGCACCTACGTAGAACAAGCTTAGCAAAGCACAGGGACCGCGGTTCAATCCCCCAGCACCACATGCCAGCCAGCCCCCCCCCGGTGGACTGAGCTGGCCACACACACACACACACACACACACACACAAATAAATAAATAAAAAATTAAAAAAAAATTTTCGGTATCAATACCTATCAAGTAAACTGAGTATTTTCTGTAGCATTTATCTGTTCATAGACACTTGAGACAGCTTTCCATGATACTGGGTTAGCATCTAAAGGCACATTTTTCTTATAAAAGTACTACGTAGTCTAGATGGAAAAAATATTTTGTGTACTAATTAGTATTTTAGATTGAGTAACTTGTATACCACCTTTCACCATTTCTAGTTAATGATATTTGATATCATTTTTTATATATCATTTTTTGTATAATTATTGTATAGTAGAGAACACAGCCAGCTTAAATATAGTCTTTATGTTTTTTTGCCTAGTAGATTAACTTTAGGGTTATCAGTAGCAGTACTTAAAGAAAACAAACAGAACAAGTTTTCTACTTGTGGTTAATCACAAATCTAAAGTTTATGACAGCCAGATTAATTATTTCTTATAAGATTATTTATCATGTTTATGAAATTTATTTTAACTTACAGTTTTTTGAAATTTTTTTTCATAGGTTTCAACAGCATGTTCCTTTCCGGGAAAGTAAGCTGACTCACTATTTTCAAAGTTTTTTTAATGGTAAAGGGAAAATATGTATGATTGTCAATGTCAGCCAGTGCAGTTTTACCTATGATGAGACGCTCAATGTATTGAAGTTCTCAGCCATTGCGCAAAAGGTGAATATAATTCAAATTTAGATTAAAATGTTAGTTGTCCTTTATTGGAATATTAATATTCCTTGATGTGTTTCATACTTGTTATTGTAAGCCTAGGAAATAATTGAAAATCAAATACTTGACTAAATGTAAAGTCATAGGAAAATATTGAAAGTTGCCCTGAAAGGATTACAGAATGACTTTTAGTAGTATTAATCATAAATATGTTACAAATTAATGGGTATCCTCAGAATGAGTTATCTACTCTTCTATTAATCTAGAAAGTCTCTTGCCTGAAATAATACTAAGAACTTTATCTAAGAATATAGATTTACTATCATTTCATGTATAAGTAGCCTTTTCTTTTTACAAGTTTCATGTAAGGGTGCTACTGTTTTGGTATTTTTTTTCGTAGTATTAATGCTTAGTTAATTAAATTAACTAAAATTGGTAATAATGAACAGTTTTTGCATTTTCTGTTTTAAAAGTCACATTGGATGTTTTAACAGGTTTGTGTCCCGGATAATTTAAATTCTTCTCAAGAGAAATCTTTTGGGCCAATCAAATCATCTCAAGATGTATCAGACAGTAGTTTGGATAATAAAATATTAAATGTAAAAAGAACAACAATTTCCTGGGAAAATAGTCTAGAAGATCTGATGGAAGATGAAGATGTGGTTGAGAACCTAGAAAAACCTGAAGAAAACCAAAGTAACCCAAGTGTGGAAGCTGAACTTAATGATGAAGATCTAGATAAAACATTAGAGGAAGATAAGGTTTTAATTAGCTGTAAGGAGAACAGAGTATGTATTAAGATCTCATATTTATTTCTATGCTTGGCTGAATTGTCTGTATTTGGGCTACCAATCCCCCTTTTCTTGAGGGATTTGTTCTGTTTTGTGTTTGAGGGAGAGTCTTGCTATATAGTTCAGGCTGACCTTGAACTCACTATGTAGCCCAGTGGACCTTCAACTGGGAACATTCCTCGTGCTTTAGCCTCCTGATAGCTGGAATTACAGGCATGAGCTGTTAGTCGAGCTACCAATTCTTAATACTCCCTCTTCTCGCGTTGGTTTCTTGTTATGTATCCCAGGCTCTCAGCAAATTAGCAAACTCCCAGACTCAAGTTTGATTCCCCATAAATCCTTTAGTAACTAAAGTCTCAGCTGTATTTTTTGAGAGATTTCAAACCTGTGGAAACATGAGTATAATGATCACATATTTAGTTTTCATCTGGATTTGTCAGTTATTATAAATACGTGAATACACTGTTTGGAAATAAGCTATGTACATAATAATACTGTGAAACTAAATATGTTTGCATATATTTCCTCAGATCATGGTGGTTTTTCCTCAGGTTATATGTTCATTCTCATATCTATTAAAATAATAAAATAATAATACTATACCATCCATATTGAAATTTTTCCAGTAATAATGAAGATACCCGCTCTAGTCACTTTGTTTTCATCTATAACTACATGACGAAGGTTAACACATTACTTTTGAGTTTAATATTTAGTAATGTCTGATCTAGCATTGACTTTAAAGTAAAAGATACTTGTTTTGTAGAATGTTTCTACACTAGGTTCATCTGATTGCTTCATATTATATAGGTGAACTTGTGAATGTGTTTTTGCATCATTGCAGAAGACATTTGATGTCTGATTTTTCTATTCTTAGAAATGCTAAATTTTGCTTAGTTAAGGGATAATCTGTTAGATCTTTCTATATTGTAGAAGCATATGATCTGTAGAATGAGACTTCAAATTTCTTGTCCAGTACCCAGTGATTTTAGCATATTCACCATAGTTCTCGTTCACAATCTAAAATGCAGTACCTAAAACATTCACCCAATTTTATTTATTGTTTCTTTAAACATATCTCACTGCTAAGGTAAGTAGGTTTAATAGTGGAGCTTTTTGCTTTTATTTAAATACAGTTCATTTGTTTAAGATGTGTGAATCCTCAGATTTTGGTAATGTTCATATTATCTGTTCCCCTCATGATATGTCCGCCTGCCTCTC